AGGGGGTGCGGGGGAGGGCGCAGCGCCTCCCCCGCAATGCAAATCAAGTATGGACAGCGCTATCCCCCTACTGGGTAATACCCTAAGCATCCCTAAGCTATCTCTCTACTAGGGAGCTACCAAGACTGAAGGACCATAAGACCAGCGGACTAGGAGACCAAGGGACTAGGTCTAGGTCTAGGTGCCCACTGGACCAAGAGACCGAAGGAGCAGGGGACCAGCGTAGTAGGAGAGGAAGAGACCAGCGGACCAGGAGACCAAAGGACCAGGAGACCAGCGGACCAGAGGACCAGCGGACCAAAGGACCACAAAAACAAAGGACCAGAGGACCCAAGGACCAGGGGACCTAGTCAGGATTTATGTGTTGATCCTGTTTGTTTTTATTGATCCTGTTATTTTTTATGTTTGATCCTGTTCTTTTTTTGATCCTGATGCCGTCCTTGAAACGGTGAGCCATTGCCTCAATCACCAGGGCACATCAAGGCATCGAAGTGAAATTGAGAATCTGATAGAATCTGTTTCAGTGATTGTCTCGGGAGTCTGGTTGATCATGATTTCATGATGATTTAGTAACATTGGTCACGGTCTTATCATGGGCTCCAAACTCGAAAGAAAGCGGGATCCAACACACATTAATGATTGAATCGGACAAAAAAATCCAGGTGATGTCCGATCACGTATAATAAATGCACGTTTAAGTGGCAACCCTGGATATAGCAGAGTGGATCTGAGCATTGATTCTCTCTTCCAAAAAACAGCACATACTACTGTATCTACTAGGACATTATAATGTTTGTCAGTTTATCAACGTCTTTGGCACGCATCCGATTCAAAAACAAGTGACTAGTGAAAGCTTCAACAAAGTCCTTGATGAAGGCTTCTGGATCCTGAAGATGCCAAGAGCATCCGGCGGCCAATTCTGTTTTGTTTCTTCTAGTTATTAGTTTATTCCAATGAATACGGTGTGTCCTGGCTTCCGTGTCCCAGCATTTTACGACACTTGTACTACAAATTGAGGTTCTACCTGTCTACAATCCCGTCACAAAATGTCACAAATCAAAATTTGCCCTTAGTGCCCATCCTCAACCAATGGCCTAGCTACTTGAGACACGATGGTGCGAATAGACAAGGGGAGGGAATTGTCCACATGAGCAACGCAAAGCAGTATTTTACGCAGAAAATGTCTTTCTGCGATCTTTCGTGGAGTTCTGTCACCACGAATCCACAACTTCCCAACAATCTACTGTCTGCTCGTACCTTGCAATGCTCACAGGATCTCACAGGAGAAAGAAAACACGGACACTGGAGATACGTTGAGTGTGTCAAACAAGTTCATTCGTAGGGGCAAGTGTGACAAATAATGAAACTCAAACATCTACAAATCAAATCCAATTGTGAACAAAGGGCAAAGGATGCACAAAACATGAATGAAAGTTCATCTTATCTAGTCTTCTAGTTGACAGATTGGTGACGCCTACCAAAGAGGATCCTGTCAACCTGAGTCTCTCAAAAAAGTGCCCACACGAGCCCAACCTGACAGCAGAATCAACCCGTACTACTATATAGGAGCAAAAAGCTACTAGGAGCAAAGGGCATCGCTACGAACGGAGCAAGGACGCTACTTGCAGACTTCAATGTTGACTTAGTGACTAAAGTGTCCATTCTTGGAGTTGTCTACTTGACAACTTCAGCAGCTTTTGGTGCTGACCTTGGGGATGCCCAATGTTTGTAGCATCACCACTTCTAGAAACTTCATTCGGTCTTCGAGAAACTATTCTCCACTATCACGCAGGTTTGACACGTTGAGGAGTCTGGCAGAATGTTTGTGGTTAGTTGACAATACGTGTCGAAAGACTAGAAGGACTATGGGCAGAGGTAACATGCGAGGCATGTGTCCAAGGATGCGACCGGTGCAGCAGTAAGGCTCCGGGGTTGAGAACATTGAGCTAGCAAGTGGTAGTCTCTGGTGTGAGATTATGAGTAGAGTCTAGTCTAGTAGTCTGGTAGAACATGAAGTGGTTTGAAATAGCAAGGATTGGAGAATTGGAGGGGCACAAATCTGAAACAATGACGTTGTGTCTCAAATCAAGTTTTGGTACGTTTTTGTAGTCTTTTGTATCTACAGTCTGCCCAGCCTCGTGCTGCGTTCAACTCTGTGTAAATCTGTCCCGTCCTGAATCTGTGGGCTTGGCAGCCCGGAAAGGGGCAACTTCACCTCGACTCGGTCTTCATTTATAATTCTCTTCCTTAAACATGCGTGCCTTTAGTCCACCTCACTCAAGGATTCCCTCAACCTCAAAACAGGCTCTTACTTGGTTCGCCACTCGAGTAAAGTGCTTTGCATTCAGACCTGAACCGTCACTGAAGTTTCCAAATATGTAAGTGAAGTGGATGTAGGTGGCAGTACTTGTTCAATTCATGGAAAACAGCAAAGAGAAGGAAACAACATGAAACAAATGACACGATCCAAATTTGGCAGCTTGGCACGACCTTGGGCTCAAGCTCAGGAGACGTGAGTCCCAGCCACAGAATTCTCCATGGTCAAAGTCTTTGCAAACGCTTGCAGCGCGAACCTCACAAAGATTTGTCTGTCCGGCAAGGTGGTCACGAACACCATGCAGGAAACACAAGAAGTGTCAGCATCACGTTTACTTCATGTTTGGCGCCTGAAGGCGACACGATCCCTGTACAAGACCTCTCTACATCTCTCTACAAGATCTCTGCAAAATCCTTAGCAAAATTAAGAAGATCTCGACGAGATTACTTTGCAGAAACTCTGTATATGAACCATGTTCGAAAACGAGCATCTTGTGCGGTACCCGTTGTTTAAAAAGCAGCTTCACGACCTCAAATGGAGAGCACAAAGTTTTTCGTGCGAAAACTCCTTGGATCATGCGAGACTTCCCGCCGTGAACGAATCTTTCAAATCGTAGCTCTGACACTAATTAGTGGTTTCATGAATTCAATGTGAGCGTTGCGTGAGAGATTTTCTTAAAGCTCCAAATATAAGGGCATTGTGCGTAATTTTCCTCAGACGTGGCACAAAAACACCCAAACTAAAAGTTTGAACACTTACAGCACTGCAACAATAACGTGCCTTCAAAACGGGTCTTCGGCCCAACCATTCTACTCCGACTCCACCCTCTTCCACAAAATCCGAATGTGATTGCTTCAATTCTGAAACGCCCTCGATGAACCCGGCCCTCCTTTTTCCCGACAAACTCCCCTTGCACTGACAAACTATCTGTTCAATAAACCCTCAGGCTTCTAGCATCTCCTATCAGTTTATGGCTTTGGGGTCAGTGTGCAATCAGGGTCACTGAGCTTGAATGAGACTTGTCGTTTCGTATTTTGTTTCTCTCGGCCTCGCTTGCTTCTCCGAGTCCTGGCTCCAAAACATGCACAGTAAAGTGCAAGCGAAGCCTCAGAAGCAAAGTGAATTGGGGCACTCAGCAAAGAAGCGCAACGAACTGCTTAGCAAGGACAGCGTTCGTCTTTCTACAGAAGAAAGGGGTACGACCTGTCTAAGGCCAAAAAGGCATCCTAAGGCCAAGACCAAAAACCTTCCAAACAGCCGCTTGTTAGCCAAAGAGGACTTGCGTTAAGTGTGGCGTTTAAAAAAATACCAGAACCAAAGTGTCAAAAGTGTCCAGAAGCAAGGTTGAACGAAACAACTATGGTGCCCAAACTATATGATCAAGGTCTCTGACTGGTCATAAAGGAACTCGTCCCACAGAGAAATCAATTCAAGCCTCAGAATGTACAGGACAGCGGCGGGCTGGAATTCGGGGGGCAAACAAAATAAGCACATGGCCTAGCAGCCTAGCATGATGGTTCAAGACTATGCTTGGCCACTTCCTTTAGCAAGTGGTTGCTGCCACTTGGCCCCCCGTGCCGGCACTCAACCGAGCCCACAAAAGGAGGCAACCCCCAGGCTAGGTGTTCAGATTGATCATTGCAAATAAATCGGGCGATTCAAACAAAATGTTGTCTTCTGCAAAACGTGCCCTTCTGCAACAAGCTACACCCTCCACTACTGGGTCTTATTGGAACCCTATTGTTGTCTATTAGGACCATATCAGTGGCGAGGGTAGGGTGAAGGGTGGTTCGTTTGTAGATGTGTGTAGACGGTTATTCTATATTATATATAAAAAGGCTGCACACTGCAGGCATGTGCATAGTTCTTTGCCACTGAATTGTTATGAGTCGGTTTTTGTGTCAACCATTCATCGGGCATGGGTTGGTGTCCGCCAACAGCCTGGACACGCCGCTGAGTGCAGGACACGAGGGTAGTATGGTATCCGACAGCCTCATTTGATCATCTGGAGCCGTTTGATGAGTGTGATGCTCAGAAGGAAAAAAGAGTCAAGAAGGAAGGAAACACACAACTCTGTCATTCCTTTTCTTCGTTGGCTTCTTCACTTTGTTTCAACCTTCTTATTCCTCCCATTCCAAAGCCAAGGGCGCGACTGTGATGCGCAGCTCTTGAAGCCCTGCGAGATGTGGCATAACTTGCAATGTTGGCTGAAATGTTGCTGTTGCTGGCGCTTGTTCAAGAATTGTTTCTTTTGAGTGTCGCATCCCATCCATGGTTGCCCTGGCCGCGGCCTTTTCTTGTCATGTGCTCAGATTCGTTGAAGCCAAGATCCACAAAAGGCCTTTTGCCAAAGCAAAGCTTGACTTGACTAGCTTCCGAAAGATTCCTATCTGCATCGACCTGTCTGGATCGTCCAATATATGCCGAGACCATTGCCTCCCAAGGCAATTCAATTGAGTGTATTGTGAATCGGGATCGGTTCTTGCGGGTCACGGTTTCGTCTTTTCCGGGTCGAGTGTGTCTTTCCGTTGCTTCGTGGCCAGAAATGGGAATGTCTTCCATCGCACTGTGCACTAGACGACGGATGGCCCGAGAGAGCGCTTAGGTGTAGAGTTGCTCTGTAAGGTATGATGCCTGCATTACGATGAAACAGCAAAGTGAAAACAATTGTGAGATGGTGAGAGGGAAAAGAATGAGATGAAAAAGATGTTCACGGGAGGCACAAACGTCTTGCAGTCGATGACGGCGAGTGGCCCGGGAGCGTTGAAAGACATGCATATGGTGTTTCGATGTGTTTCACATATATTTTTGTATGGCAATGCGCGCGGATGACTGCGGATGACGCGTTTCTTGACATTGCGCAGTGTCCACAGTCATTAAAACCCTTCACTCAGGCGCTCTCGGGGAAAAAACAGTTCGAACCTTCCCGCACCATCTGGGTAGATGTGCTGCAGCACAAGCTCATGCGTCATCCTGAGCACCAAATAATAAGTCAATATTTGTTTGCTGGTTGAATGACCATTCGGGCGTCCCAAGCTTACGACCAACCAGAAGACTCCAGGAAGTCAACAGAGTTAGCTCGACTCATCAAAAAGTTCTGAAGCCTCGATGCGATTTGCGATTTGCATGCTCCTTTCAAAACATGTAAATGCGTTTTCTCAAAACTCTTTGAATCGTTTGCCAGCGACAACAAGGCACTCCAGTGACTCTGCACTGACCAAGACGCTAAGGCTCGATGAGTCACGGACGATGCGATTCAGTCGCAGCCTAAGGGAGCCACAGCCGCAAAGCATGTTCTCTGCCTTCCAGAACCCCAGGGATCGACGCATCGGTGTTCCTGCGCTCGCAACGCACAAACTATATGGCAACACATACCGGTCTCTTGAGTGAAGGATTTGATTTCATAATGATTTTTTGTTGGAAAAATGGAGCCCCCTAGGCTGCTGATTTAAACAATGAGAAACCGACTTTCGAATATAACGACTAGAACATGATAAAGGAGAACATGACAACAAAATCTGCAGAGCCCGATTTTTTGTGGAATGGATTTCCATGTAGCGTTGATCTTGAAGATCCGAAAATGTTCCATTTTTATGGAGTGCTCAACCAACATCTGCTTCATCCTCTTTGGGAAAAACTCAAAGATCCTCTGCGCGGACAAGTCTGTGATTCGAACTTTTGTAAATTTGCGACCTCTGCTGGATCTTTCGATTACTTGATATTACTTGACTGATATTTGCGACCAGGTCAGCTTTTGTCAGTTTTTTCCTGGGAGGGTGTGGACAAATACGATGGGCCTTGGCAGGGGAATGTGTTTATAAAATGGGTTTTGTCAGTTTTTTCCTGGGAGGGTGTGGACAAATACGATGAGCCTTGGCAGGGGAATGTGTTTATAAAATGGGTGTTGTCGGCTTTTTCCTGGGAGGGTGTGGACAAATACGATGGGCTGCGTGGGTCTACCACACTTTAAGGAGCCAGCTCTGATATAGCAATATAGTGGCTATAGGCTCCCTGTAGGTAAACCCTATGCAGGACTAGTTTCTGTTAACTCTGTTTGAAGAAGAATCACACTCAAAACATCTCGAAAAAAATGACTGTCAACTTTATTATCAAAAACATGGGAACAACTGTGCAATTTAAGACAAGTGATAGCAACTGAATGCAGTCGTCTCAACAACCTTGCAAGCAAAAACATGTGAACAACAACAATGCCAGTGGGAAAAACACTGCAAACTAGATATGTTCATTGAACATTTTGGCATGATTTTGTGCGATGATCAAAACCTGAGCATTCACCATGTGCCACATTTTCACCAAGTGAGACAACCACAGTGGAAAAAAACAAGTGACATAAAACGCAGAGGTTGGATCGTATCATTTTATAAACCTCACCCTGCCCATCGTATTTGTCCAAACCCTCCCAGGAAAAACTGGTAACTCATTTATAAGCCATTTCCTCTGCCAAGGCCCATCATATTTGTCCACACCCTCCCAGGAAAAAACTGGCAAACCCATTGTATAAATTAGCCCAGCTGGAGACCCCAATAGCAAGATACAAACCGGGACAAAAAGAAAAATCTGGAAACAGCTGCTGTTTTCAACACATCGACCATCTCTTCCTTGGACACCATCATCACATAACCGGGACACCATCACAAAATGACCAGGGCACCATCAAAACATGACCGAGACACCGTCACAACATGACTGGGACACAATCAAAACATGATCGGGACACCATCACAACATGACCGCGCCACCATCACATGATCGGGACACCATCAAAACATGACCGGGA